TAATATTTGACAACTCCTTGATTAATCGATTAAACTAATTTCAAAATGACCAAAAACGTGGAAACTCCATCATCACTGCATCACAGCTGTACTTGTGTAGATTAAATATACGTGAAACATGCCGGTGAGGTTTTCTCCGAAATGTGACATAAAAGCATTTTGGAGAAAGTGTTTTCTTCCCCAGAATAACATCAGGCTGGTCTGCTTTTTATTAGCCGAGAAGCTGTTTGAATGACAGCTAATTTATCACCTCTTCTAGCTGCTGGTATTTTGTGCTTTGAAAGATTCTTTTCATGTGAAGAAAAAGCAGTTTAGAAACCGTACGTATGCTCCAGTGCTCCATTTTTGAGACTAAATGTGGGCTCCCTAACAGCCAAAGGTCACTCTGCTGATGTTGCTCTAAGTCCGACACAATCTTTTCTTGTGCATTTCAAACGCTCTTTGTTGCGGTCGTCTCTCCAGCAGATGGGGCTGTCAGATCGGCTCAAAACCAAAAGCAACACACTCAGAAATCCTCCGTTTTAGCAAATGCACTGGCTTTATTGAACGTTAAATACCAGACTCAAATCACCTGTACGATGAGCTCGGAGAAGAAAAAAACAAAAAAACAATCATACAAATGCGTTAATCTTAATACTCTTTTAATTCGTTTCTGCTTCTTACTGAATGCACAAAAGGCAGTTTAAGCTTAACTGTAATTCTCGCATGCTTGTTACAATATAAAGCTCGGTGCTGTGCGTGAGAGCATGAACACAACACTGACATTTGAGGAAGAAGAAGAAAAAAGAAAAAAAAAAGCCTCCGCTCAGAGATTTCACATTCAGCATGCTCTCAGTCACAGCAGGAGGAGGCTGTTTTTTTTTCTCAGTACAGTTATCTGCCTCGGTCGGGCAGTTGGCAGCATATATCAAGGTCGATGTGAGAGTAGAGAAAGAGAAAAGAAGGAAAAAGAGGGAAACAATGCGAGTAAGGTGAAGCAGAATGTGACGACCGGGCGCTTTTGTCAAAGCACAGAGAGGTTTCACTGATCGCAGGTGAGACATGCAAACCACTGGAGTTCGATGAGCAGGTGTCTGGTGCAGGTTTATGTGTCTCCTCAGGAGGGTGATGGCAGGAAAAAAAAAGGAGGCTTCACGGGCGGGCCTCCTGGACTGTAGGATCTCAGAAGGTGGACGAGGACTCCATCGACTGGCAGATCTGGGCGAACACTTCGTCAGGCGACCGCTCGGCGTCAATCTG